CTATATATATATCTCTATATAGATATATATATAGATATATATCTCTATATAGATAGATAGATAGATATAGATATATATAGATATATATATAGATAGATACACATATACATATACACATGTACACACACACACGTATACGTATACGTATACGTATACACACGTATACACACACGTATACACACGTATACACACGTATACACACGTATACACACGTATACACACGTATATACACACGTATACACACGTATACACACGTATACACACGTATACACACACGTATACACACACGTATACACACACGTATACGTATACACATACACACATACATATACACAAAGACATTCCATTTACTGTCATGTATGACAAAGTATCAAATCCTTATACTTTGAGAAGCTAGAATCAGGGAATATTTGGCATTTTTGCTTGAAAAAAAGAGGACAAAACCAAATATTTTTATTTGATTGGCTGATAATTCCAGTTCTAGTCTGTAACTGAAAAGAAAGTTTAATTATTTGTAAGATTAGCAATTTGTCTACTGGTAACAAAGCAATAATAAAACATATTTCTGAATTAAATGACACTTTTTATACATATTTCACCAGCCATTTGTATTATTCAATAATGGTAATAAAGTACAGTACAGGATAAGATCAATTCCTATTTTTAATAACAAATTACATCCATCTCTTGTTGTGCCTTTGTTGTAGACAATGATTTATGTAGCACATGACCAAATTTTACATCATTATAGAAATTACTCAAATTTGAAATGACACTCCTACATTTTGTGAATGTTTTACCAATGTCAGAGGATGTCTGTCTGAAAGGTTGTGAGAGCTCAGATGATCTTCGGCCTCTGAGGAAGACACAGATTATAATACGCAGTTTGATCCCAAAAATCTGCTCCTTTCCAGCCACACCAGCCCTGGGAAAGATAACAATCATGTCACATTCAACACGACGCAGTACAAGAAAATGTATACTTTACAGAGAGAAATGCAGCCAGTGTAGATGATTGTAACAGTTACCTTGTCTGCGATAACCTGTGAGTCCTCTGCTCCTGTGTAATGTGGATCTAGGATGAGATAGCGGATCTGCCCGCTGGTCTCACTCCATGCCACACCTAGAATAGTGTGAGCTAAAACTCCCCCTCCTGCAACACAGGAAAAAAGTAACATGAAAAGATAGTTTGTATTCATCTTAGGAAAAACATTTACCAAGATTTTACCCAGGCTGTGTTAGTGCTAGGGAATTAAGATGTGTATGTCTTTGTATGATTTAGATACAATTACTACTTTTTTTCTTAACCAGATACTAATTACATGTCGCTATAGTTTATGTATTATTATTGTTTGTCTGAAGATTATGTACTATAGGAAAATATGTACACACATTTTTGGTTTTAAAGTTTGTTAGAGCTGTTACAGTAGAATTAAATGCCTAAATGCTTGTAGCATAACTTAGGAACCGTATCGAAACTCGTCAGACAACCATACCAATCATGATGGGAGTCCCTTCAGTAAGGAAGTGGTTGGTCAGTTCTCTGCCTTTGGATGCCAGCTCAGAACCTTGACTAAAGAGAAGCATTCAACATCAGATGAATCCAAATAATATGTACATACAGTACATCGTCACACAAGTTGCTATCCATAGGCGTCTTACAACACACCTCACAAACATGATCTTGGAAGTGACCCCAAGCAGCTGGTTCAGAACAGCCTGAACCTCAATGGATCCGATCCACTGGCGTGATCCAACAAAGGATCCCGGTTTGTCTCCAACATCCGCTAAAGCCTGGAAAGGTGAGAGCCCATTGAAAGGGGCCATTTGGACATTTCCATGGTATTGTGATAGTCATGTTTACAGGACCACTACTGTACCTGTTGGATCTCTTTGTGTGTGGGCACGGCCCGCTCTACGTAGCCTTGCTGCTGGAACCAGGAGCAGATAGTCTGGAGGGAGCGATAAGCACAGCCCCAGCCATTGTCATCCATATGGTCCTGCATGTAGTGGTGATAGCTGTAGATCCCCTGGACCAAGTACACCTTGAGAAAATACACACATCAGAGAAGCCAAGATTACGATTCCATGCAGAGTACATCTCAGTATCCATCTATAAGAGGAGATAGAGCATGACAGACTTTAATCTGGTGATAAGATGCACCTTTCCATTGTCCAGCGTGGGATGTGTGAGGACCAGATGAGGGTTTCGGAGGTAACCATCTTTGTAGGGCTCATTGGGAAAGTGGTAAGCATTGGCTCTTCTAACATAGGGCCAGTCATCTGGTAGCTCAAGCTGTTGATGCAGTTCCTACTTAAACAGATTTTGTGTACAATAAGATGACAAAAAGATGTTAAAAAAGAACATAAATCAGGAGTTAAAGAATGACTATTCCATGCTTTAATTACGACAGTGTTTCATGCAAGTACAATGAGTTAGATCCACTGCCCGAACCTGAGGATTCATCTCTATGGTATCTCTATTGGGAATTTAAAGACTCTCAGTAAGTGAGTCTTACCTTACGTTGTGTCTCCAGTTGGCTGTCAGGCACTCCTGCAGGGTAAACCACGGTCACTAGCCCTTTTGGCTCTGGAAGGAGGAAGTGGAGCGGTTCAGGTACCAGCAGCGTGGTCCCCTTCATGTGTTGCAAGGTCACTTTCTCCATCTCACACAGCTGATGAGTTAGCGCCTCCAACAGGCGCTCAAAGGCACTGCAAGGCCAGAAGAAACGTATTTCACAGTGAGCAGAACTATTCACGCTAGCGGCTGGTGAGTCCATGTTTACTCACACTGATGCAGTGAGGTTTCAGAGCTTGGCTAGTAATATAATATATTTTTAAGGTAAGACAAACTCTTTGATTGTTTCATTGACGGTGGTATGGACGATGCAGTCCACAGGCAGAGTTGTAGACAGGAAGTGGGATTTCTGGACTGTTCTGCTGAGGATCGGGGCTGAAAGGGGCCCTGTCTTTGTCGCCTCCATCATCAGGCGAAGGTTAATGACACTCTGAATGACAAGGGTACACAGGCACATTGTATTATTATTATTAATTAATTGTATTATCAAAAAAAAGCTAAAATAATTACTGGTTCTAGCATCTCATATATGAGTATTTGCTGTTTTTCCTTTGTCTTCTGTGATAGTAATCTGAATATATTGGGGTTTGGGACTGTTGGTCGGACAAAACAAGACATCACCTTGAACTTTTGAGAAACTGCACCCTGATCGAGGCTACAAGTGGGAATATTGTATAAACTATACAATTCATCTGCAGTGTAGGCTAACAACATCAGGCAGGTGCTGAACATGATTCCTTGATTGTACTTTACTCAAAGACTGCTATCCCTGTCCACAGAAAATTAAACCTAGAAAGAATAATAGTGTCAGTGTTAATAACACAAAAGAGCAGTGGCTACCCGGCAGTAGTAGCAGCTCCAGTGGCCTAATGGAAGAGACACTGGCGTCCTGAGACAGGAATTGTGGGTTTATGTCCCATCTGGGAGGGAATAGCAAAACCACGCTGGGCTCATAACCCAGAGTTTGATGCACACAAACCATCCTCTGCCGTGTTACATTATCGCAAACAAAACTGAATATCTTTGGGTTTTGGACTATTGGTTGAATGAAAGAAGACATGTGAAGGCCTCAACTTTGGCTCTGGTGTTTTTCACTTTTTCCGACACTTTACAAGCCAAGCGATTAGTCAATTAACTGAAAAAAGAACCAGAAGATTATTTAATTATGAAAATAAATGCTGCAGCCCAACTAAGGTTACATCTATAATACACAGCACTGCTAAGCTGTTGCGGCAGATACCTATTGGTTCATATGGGGACTACTTTTGGTACAAAAAAACATCTCAATAAACTTAACGTGTACATACTGCTGCTGAACTTTTTTTGCTTTTCTTTTTTGCAGATCTCTTGCCAGCAGCCTCTTGTTTATCTGACCTGAAATAAATAAAAACGTAATTAGAATTCAGACAAAGAAACAAAAATTTGAGGACAAAAAAAGAAAGTGAACTTACTGAATCCATTGATGTATATCTTCACATAGTGTGTTTGGAGTTATTTCTTCAGGTGTTGCGTAAACACCTCTGTTTGGCCAAACAATAACAGGACTGTCACAGACTGATAGAACACATGATTCAGATTTCACCTGAGATTGAAGCATCTCGAATGTTCTTGAGATGACTTTGTGCATGAGCCGTGCTGAAAGAAGACAGGGAATATCAGTCCATCTCCAATTACTACATTGTATTATTCTTTTTGCCATATGTATTCTTTATGCATTTTATCTTTTAGTCAATGTTAAAATTGCTGACACTGTACTTTATGAACATTTATTAATCTTTATCTAATTAGCACAACTTGAATATTACCATTAGCATTTTACTTTGGTTTACTGTTTTCTTTTACCCGCTTCTTCCACACCAGCTTGTTCCTTTAGTGTGGACACCAGTGAGCAGTCACTGAGGACACCAAAGGCCTTGATTTTGTTAAGGGAAATTTAAGTTCCCATTCTACAATTCACATAGAAGGGTTTTAATCTTGATTGACTTGTTCAAGTTGGTTAGTTAAAATTATCAAAGTTAGCTGTTTAAGACAAATCAAAATAATGAGATTTCCTACTTCTCCAGAAAAATGATATTCCTGGCTTTGAAACAGCATTACGGCAGTCGTGCAGGGAAAATGAAATGTACTGCATTAAACAAGCAGCATTTCTTATATTGAACGAACTTCTTTTGGTGTCCAATCAAAATGTATTCAGGGTGGGTGGGATTGCACTGAGGGATCTTTGACTGTTGGACTTAGTAATACTAAAATCTTGGCTATGGCCCCGCAGGTAGTTTTAGGAAAGTCACATTTTGTAGAGGCTTTTTCCTTTATGTATAGATGTATCTTATAATACATAAATGATACAGCATGAAGGCACTATAGGCACTGAAATCATGCTAGTACGACTTAAACTGCTCCATATTAAACCGTATAGTATCCAACTATACAATATCTAGTAGCATGACAATGTGTATGAACATACCATCTGTGCTGTCCAGGTGACATTTGAACTCCAGCGGCCCTCTGACACGAAGGATGGTACTTGTGTCGGAGGAATGCGAGTCCGCAATAACCTGAGAGAGAACCTAGCAGTGTTAATGTAGACTGCCAACAAGGAAGCGAGGAGCCGCTGTCAAGGGACATGAACGTCCCGTTAAGCAAATATATCGGTAAACTTACCATAGTTGAGTCCAGTAATATAGGATCACTAAACTAGCAGCTGTTCTCTACGCAGTGGAGGCTGACATGTCTGTTCAACGTGTCTCTGGCTGCTGCATTCTATTGGTCCATACTGGCCCTGCCCATTTATGTTGCATTCATGGTGACTCGTGATTTGTAGTTTTACTGGATTACACCGTGGTGCCATCCTTTTCCTAGTAGAGATGCGTCGTTTTTTTCCAACATTCTGTGCTTTTGCAACTAAATCGTGTGTCATGGTAGTTTTCAGTTTAATTGAACTAAGAAAAAATGATTTTCAACATTCAATGGTCTAATGAGAAAGATCTACAGATAATTATAACAAAGTGTTAGTGTTAAAATACTGTGTTTACATAGAATGCACAGACTGAATACACATAAGGCCTGTGGAGCATCATAAATTATGTGAGCAGACAAGAGGCAATTCTTGATTGGGATGGCACAATGCAGAGCACTTGAAAGTGGGAATAGGTTAAACTTACATTTGGGGCACATATATAATAAAACGTAATAATAATAATACTTATACTACTTCTAATAATCATAATAATACAAATGTTCTATTGGCGCTGTAGCTTCAAAAAAATCGACAGACAATCATGCTCACTGTGGGTGAGTGCATTATAAAATGTCCTGTAGTGATGCTGTTTTTGCATGTGTATCACAATGCTGGTTCTGCTCTACTAGGATTGAGTGAGGCATACTATATCTGATTATTCCAGCATCAATGCCTGTGTCACCCGACTCAAAAACATGCATTAACATTCTTATATTTTTATCCTATGGTTAGGCTATTTATATGGATTTTAAATTTACTTTGTTTAATACAACGATAAATAATGCAAGGAGAGTGCAAAGAGTAACAAGTAACATAACAGAACCCTGTTTCTTAGTGCATTGTCTGTTTGCCTCAGGCTATTAGATGGCAGCCATGCGTGCTAGGCCAGGCAGTGTGAGCAGACACTGGGTTAGAGATGCTGTAGCTCTTGCGCATGTCGAAATGGGAGCTTTCAAACTATGCTTGCAGCAAACCTCACCACCAAAACTCATTGACCTTAACAACTGAAAAATAAAATCATCATGAGACGCCACACTTGTAGATAAATCAGATAACAGTACATAATGTATTGCTTTTTACCAAACGTTGAGAATTTGAATTATGGGTCAACTTTATGGATATCTGAAGATGAAAGGACCTGCTGAAACATATTCACATTACAGCCCTGTTATACTTGTTCAATATGTTCAAACGTATTAACTATTCTTCTTCTTCATTACAAAGTCAAATAAAGCACATGCCCAGAAGCAGAATTGAAAATGAGATCAGTTTTAGGTCAGTCGTGTTCTGTTCTGATATTGTTTCTGTAGCTTCTGTATAAAATCATTAGTGGAGAAGTGTGGAGAAGAAAACACGAGTTCGTCTTTTGTGCTCATTAGTTTGGTGGACCAGTTTTGACCCATATCGCTCAAAAAAGGTCCACTGTTAAATCTGCCGGAGTGCATAAATGCAACATTACCAAAGGTTTACTGTAAGTATCTATTAAAGTGCTTTATGTGTCTGTCTGAATACAGTATTTACTAAGTGCAGCTCAAGTATATACATTGTAACTGTCTGAGTTCATGGCTGTTGAGTTCCTGTGGATTTAGTGTGCTTGGCTTGATTTGTGATGAGATTAGCTATCTCTCTCTTCTTACCATAAACAGAGTATTAGGATCTTTGGACGAGTATGTGTAATGACTGAATATTTGGCAAGCACCATGGAAACTCACATTACAAATGCACATTCATCATTGATTCTGTGAACGCATTCAGAAAATCAGCTCAAAACTCATCTCTTTAGACTGGCGTTTGGGTAAAACCCATGTCCTAGACCTGCTTTTACATTTTAATTTCTTCTAATTTTGTATTTTATAATTATTGGCCTTATGGTCACATTGTGTTTTTTATGTTTGTAATTCTGCCCTGTTAAGCACTTTGTGAGTTATGTCTGTAAAAAGCGCTTTATAAATAAATGTTACTTACTTACTTACTTACATATGGAAATAAGCAAAGTTAATATTTGGATTAATTTTCTTATAGATTCAAACAGGGAAGGTGACATTATTATATTGCTTTCAGTCTTTTTCCATCTCATGACCTCAACATTGGTGGTTGTTGTTCCATTAATAACTAAATAAAAAAGTCAGCATGTAGGGGAAGAGAGAGAGCAAAAAAAGGAATTGAAAAAAAGTGTTCATTATTAACAATAATAACAGTTACTTCATACAATATGACTACTGTTGGTGTTTGGTTACTTAAAAAAATAAATAAATAAAATAATATATATATATATATATATATATATATATATATATATATATATATA